GTCTTTCGATGTGTTGAACAGCGATTTTGGCCCGGTAGTAGAAGGCGCCCAACCTTTTTACACACACACACACACACACACACACACACACACACTTCCGTCACCCGTCCACTCCTCCACTCTCCCTCCTCCATCTGCACCCAGTTCCCGTCTTCCGTATTTCCTCCCCCTCTCTCTCGCGCTCATCTCTCTCCCCATTTCCCTTTCACCAACATTTTGTTTTCCCGATTTTCCAGTTTTCTCTTCTTGTTCTTCTCTGGTCCTCTGTGTGTGTGTGTGTGTGTGTGTGTGTGTGTGTGTGTGTGTGTGTGACCCCAGTATCGGTAACAGCAGCCACACTGAACACTGGAGAAGGTCGTGTCCCCACCCACCCCTCCCCCTCCCGTTGGTCGTCTTGTTTTTCAATGTGTTGTACAGGATCCTGGCTACCTAGAGGACCATTTTTGTTGTAGTTTCTCTCTTCATTAGGGGTAAAATAGGATGAAGACAGTGTAGCGTGTTGGTTAGGTTAGGTTTGGTTTGGTTAGGTGAGGTTTGGTTTGGTTAGGTGAGGTTGGTGAATTAGGTGAAGTTAGGTTAGTTTGGTTAGGTGAGGTTAAGTTGGGATTAGGTTAGGTTAGGTTTGGTTTGGTTAGGTGAGGTTTGGTTTGGTTAGGTTAGGGCTGTGGTGAAGGCCTTGTGTTAAGCAGCCGCCGCACTGAAAAATCAATGAGTGAAGCTGCAGGTGAGAGAGATTGTGTAGGGTGTAATTCATGGCTGGTATGGGTGTGTGGGGGAGGGGGAGGGGATGGGTGTCTTTGTTAGGTAGGGGGAAGGGGAGGTGTGTGTGTGAGATGGGGAGGGGAGAAGAACACCACTTCGCCAGTTCCTCCTCAACCATTTCCTTCTGCACTCTCCTCCTCCTCCTTCACCATCACCTTCTCCACCACCAATGCCTCCTCTTCCTTCACCACCAATGCCTCCTCCTTCTTCACCATCACCACCACCAACTCCTTCACCACCACCATCACCACCAACAACTCCTTCACCACCACCACCTCCTTCACCGCCTGCTTCACCACCTCGCCTGCTTGTGATACACCCAATACGGCCGGTGACTCAGATGGTGCAGCATAGAACAGATGGTATACTGAGAGAGACATCTGGAGTACCGCGGAGACAGCTGGAGTACCACGGAGACAGTTGGAGTACCACAGATAACATTAGTGTCCACAGTACTCAACCACAGCCACCACCAGCTGAGGGGGGGGGATGTAAACACGCCTCTCCCCACTCTGGTTTAACCTAAGAACATTGCCACTCTTAACCCCCCGGCAGGTTTAGGTTGTGTTTTGTGTAGGTCAGTATATGTGTAGGAGAATGGAGAGGGGTGTGTGTGTGTGTGTGTGTGTGTGTTGAAGTTAAAGATACTGTGGTAGTGAGTGGGAGAGAAAAGCTTGTTATCTCCCTCCTGGGTTTTACTCTGGCTTTAGAATCTCTCTCTCTCTCTCTCTCTCTCTCTCTCTCTCTCGCTCTCGCTCTCTCTCCTGAAGATCATTTTACAAGACCAGACAAAGGTTCAGTTTACCTCTCCCATCTTCCCCCGGTGGAGCGGATGAGTGCGGGGAATATGATGCATTGCGTGGCTCACAAGGCAATAGTGGCTGTTGGTCCTGTGAGATGAATGTATCGCTTATCGAGCTGTTCTTAATGTGGGTGTCATGTAAGTGGAAATATTGTCTTAGGGTGTGGGGGAGGTGGAGGGAGTGGTGGTGTGTGCGCCGCTGTTTTTATGGCTGGGTTATAATAGAGTTTGTTGTTTTAATTGTGTGTTTGGTTAAGTTAGGTTAGGTGAGTTTCCCTTCACACATAGGCCAAGTGGAAATAATCTGGTCTTTCTTGATGAATTTACCTGATCTATTCTTAGGCAGTTGGTTGTGATGACGTGTATACCTGTGTGGTGAATTATCTGATTCTGTGGTTAATTGATGGCGGTAATGACTCGGGAGGTGACGTAGGATAGGTAACTCATAACCGAAGAAGAGTTGTAGTTTGCTGTATAATTCAAGGTAGATAAACAATTGGTGGATGATGAGTAATTATGGTAACGAATTCTAACCCACAGGTGAATACTGAGTTGATATAGTGAAGATCTACCCAGGTATTGTACTGATTACCTGTGTGAGGAAACCCGATAGTGACTTTGCTTACAGTGATCTTGATTTCCAGTGTCTGTGAAGTAAAAAAAATCTCTAAATGAAAACGACGAATTATATGGAAAATGTTTGTGGTTTACAGGTGGAAAATTAATATAGAGTGAAATATATTTGTGGCATAGTACTGGAAAATAAGTGTTTGTGTTTTGAAGGTAGAAAATTGATGTAGAGTGAAGGGACTGTAGATTTAGTGTTACGTGTTATTGGGTGTGTTATATACTGTGTGTTGTCGCGTACTGTGATGAAAATTATGGGAAACATCGCCAGTATGGAAGAAGAGTGTGGCACGCGATGGTCTGCCGCCCCGTGCATTTGATGAGCACCCGAGTGTGTTTACCAACTGGTGGCAGCGGTGGGATTTACTGAGGTTTAGTAGTGACCTTGACAGCTGTGGTGGATACTGCCTCTTGATGTTTAGCACCAACAGTGACACGTGTATCATTTATCCCTGTTGAAGTATTAGCAGTGGCAGTGACTTAAGTTTGATGGTCACTGTCTGCGCAAGAGTGACAGGTGTGGTGGTCACTGTCTGCGCAAGAGTGACAGGTGTAATGGTTACTGTCTGTTGAGGTGTTAATAGTGATAGTAACAGGTGTGGTGGTCACTGTCCACTGAGGTGTTACTAGCGACAGTGACAGGTGTGGTGGTCACTGTCTGCTACTCCTGGTGGTGGTGCCCGGCCGTGACACACGCACCATGGCCTGGGGCTACTGGAACACTTACTTCGTGAAGGGCGCTACCAGTGACAACGGTGAGTACTGGATTCACCCTCACCACCCTCCTCACTCACTCATTCACCCTCACTGACACATTCACCCTTACTACCTCCCCTCACCCACTCATTCACCCTCACTGACACATTCACCCTCACTACCTCCCCTCACTCACTCATTCACCCTCACGACCTCACTTCACTCATGCATTCACCCATTCAGATCCGCTGGTTGACTCATTTACACACACACATTCTCTCTCTCTCTCTCTCTCTCTCTCTCTCTCATCAACATATTCATGAGCATTACGTGTCTTCATCGTCGTCCTAATGAGTATTATATTCAGTGATATTAATGAACGTTTTTGTTTTGTTAAGTCCACTGCGTCTTTGTGTTGTGGGAGCTAACTGAGAGAGAGAGAGAGAGAGAGAGAGAGAGAGAGAGAGAGAGAGAGAGAGAGAGAGAGAGAGAGAGAGAGAGAGAGAGAGAGAGAGAGAGAGAGAGAGAGAGAGAGAGAGAGAGAGAGACCTGAACTTACTAATATACTTAATTAACGTGTTTCTTCTCCGCCATTGTAACGCCACAGTCTTAGCAGCTCACCATCACCAAGGGCAGCATCCTCCTCCTCCACCACTAGCAACATCTTCTCCACCATCACCATCATCACCAACAATAACATCACAACCACCAACACCAACATCTTCTCCACCATCACCATCAATAACATCACAACCATCGCCATCAACAACACCTTCTCCACCACCACCAACATCTTCTCCACCATCACCAGCACCCTCTCTGCAATACCACCACCACAACTACTACTACTACTACCATCACCAATATCACAACCACGACCACCCACCAAACACCACCGCCACCACGACCCACCGCCACCACGACCCCCCAACAACACCCTCTCCCCTAATACCACCAACACCACCACCGCCCCCAGCACCTTCACCAACACCCCCAGCAGGAGAAAGAAGATCATAATGAGGAGGTCGGGTGTGGCGGGGCGTGGTCAAGAGGCTCTCCTCACCACGAACTGCTCCCAGCACTGGCATTCATCTCGTCTCACTCCTCAACCCCAAATTATCACCCACCACTTATCTCCATACTCTCTCTCTCTCTCAACCTAACTGCACTTTACCTTAGACTAACCTAACCTTAATCTAACTTAACCTATAACCTTGCAATGTTCAGGACCTTTAAAAGTGATTGTGTATGTATATGTGTATGTGTGTATGTATGTATGTATGTATGTATGTATGTATGTATGTATGTATGTATGTATGTATGTGTGTGTTGTGTATACGTAAGAGCAAGTTCCCAAGGCACTTCCAGCACCCGGGGAGAGCCAATAAAGGTCTCATTACCCTCTATTCACGCTGTTTCCCTCGACCCAGGTAACGAAATTCGACTTGTTTACCTTTAGACCTTTTGTTTGCATGTTGCCGAAGCTGTTTGTGTCGCCTCGGTTGTTTGTGTTGTTTATTATTTGGGTTTGTTAGTCATCTGAATATTGGTGTTTATTTTGGTCCGAGTTTGTTTACTAGTGACGTTATTATCTTTGTGTTGGTTCTGTCTCATATCTTAGAGTCCACGTGTGTTGGTTAGGTTAGGTTACCATGAGTAGGAGAGTCGACAAGAGGAGTGAATTCCCCGTGTTTAACCCTGTGCTTTGGGGGGGGGGGGAGGAATATGACCACCCTTTCTTGCTTCTATTGCTCCAAGGGGGAATGTTCCCTAGTCAAGTCTTGGGTCTTTAATTCCGGTTAAGTGATTGTTTTAATTAATGATGTTGAAGGGGAACACTCTTATCACGCCTGACATGTATTCATACACATATACATACATACATTAGTCCGGCTCGAGGGCGTTTTTACATCAGTGGCTTCCGGTCTTGTGTGATGGTTACCCTCAAAATCTGAGTCTTACACTAAAAAGATCTCAGACAACTTTGCATCAATAAAATCGTAGTTCAGTCTCTGTGTGTCACTTAGAACTTAACACCGTCTAAATACATGAAGTAAATGTGTGGGCATTGAGTCAAACATACATTGAACACAGAATATTTTATTCACGTCTATAACATTGTATTAATAAAGTTAAGGAAGAACAGTTTACATGACAACTTATAATAAACACAATCAGAGTCTGCGGGTCCCGGCAGGTTGGTTGCGTCGTCTGTTCTTGCTGGAGCACCTGGGCGGACGATCACCGGTGCTGGCGCCGGTTTGCTTGGGCTCCACCTTCAGCTTAACACCTTTACAACAACAATCGTTCAGAGTCAGAGCCAAGTCGACAGAGAACTTGTCCCTGAACAAGATGTAGGCGAAGCCTTTTCCTTTAGACTTGCGGACAATGTTGACAGTGTTCATTATACCACACAGCAGGAAGTGTTCCTTTAAGTCTTCCTCAGTAATGTTGCCGTCAATGTTGCCAACATAGACACAGTGAGCGTCAACCTTACTCCTGCCGTCTTCCTCACTGCTGGGTAAAGTCGGGGTCAGCCTCGGGCACACTTGAGAGAGGTTCTTCATCTTCTCCACCTCCTTATTCACCTGACGGCGCACCTGGTGGGCCTCCCGTAGTAGTTTCTTCAGCTCGGGTTTCACGCTGCTAAAGTCTATGTCGGCAGACTGGCCAAAGTCTTGGGCTGTGATTAAGTCTTCGTGGGTAAAGACTTGGTGATCCATCACGGGTGTTGGGCAGAGCAACGCTGAGAAGATGTCCTGCTTCAGAGGTCAACAAGTGAGTGATGTTTGTGGCCGTCACACCACCCGCTATATATTCACTGCTGAAGGTAAACTATAAAAAATTTGGAGACCGAAACATTCACTGTGATTGGCTGATTAACCTTAAGCTCCACCCATTATCTCCTCTAAATTTTGACCTCCCGGTGATATGACCTGACTTTTCCCCGTCCTGGTTCACGTCACGTCCTCAAAGGTGACGTGACGTGCGACATTGTATTACCTCACACTGACGTGGGCGAGGTACTACCCACCCCACCACACACACCTTTCCAATGGACAAAATACCACCACCAAAATGATAAAGTGGACAAAATACTACCGAACAAAATCCAATCCATAAAACCCCAACAATAAATTAACGTACAGTACAATATAGAAAGACAATTTCCACGCTAAACAACAACTTTTATAACTACGAATTGAAAACTTTTAAAAAGCTGCTTCATTTATCAACAAGTGAAGATGTTTCCAGGTTTAACCAGCCAGTAAGGTCTAGGGGGCGGACCACAATTGGAGATCATACCCTAAATTATTTCACCTTAAGATTAACAACACTAACCTAACTTATACCCCCCAAAAAAAAAAAATAATAATAAAACAAATAAACAACAACAAATAAATAAATGAAATAAAAAATCCTCCACCTTGGCGGACTCGTTGTGCTCCGTCATGTTCCCTCCACCTACAACCTCTTAGACCCCCCCACCTTTTGATGTTCCTTGATCCCGACAACACAGGTACAGGTAAGGTGACGAGGTAGCAGAGATGTGCAACCTGACGCAAGGATTATGTCCCCCCCCCCCCTCCTGAGCTGAATAAGATCGTCTGGTGTCCCCGTAATGAAACGATTTAAAAGAAGATCACGTGAAGTCATCCCAGACCTTTTGTTAATGAGTTATTGAATTACCTGAGGAACATCCACCCTAGTTTATTTCACCTGCAGATTAACGATCCTAACGCTAATTTAACCTAACCTAACTTAACCAAACCAAACGTATCCTAACCTAACCCCTTAAATACTGTTAGGGTGGTTAATCTTCTGGTGTAATAAGCGAGGGTGGTGATTCTCCAGGTGGAAATAAGTGTTTGCTGCATGATTGTAATTCGGTTTCTAGTAATCGTATTTCTGTGTAACCGAGAGCAGTAATAGCCATTATAGACATCATCCACACGCTGCATCTCACTCCTCACTATTTATTATAAATATAATCGACCTAGATATAGGCGTAGACAGTAACACAAATAGTTTGTTTTATGGGCATTAGCCCACCCGGGCACAGGTCACTTTATAATGACCCACATCAAGGCTCGGGGGGGCGAAAATATAATAATAAAATAATAATAATAATAAGAATATTAATAAAAATAAATAACAATTATAATAAATATAATATTAATAATACTAATACAAATTATAAATAATAATAATAACAATAATGGAGCCATACATAAATAAAAAAATTAAATTGATAAAGAGTGAGAAACAATATATGTATGTTGTGTTGTCAATAGTAAGAGAAACAATTATGACCCTACAATTGTGTGTAACTGAGGCAGAAAGTCAGATCAGCAACCTGGGACTTGGTCACATATGGCAGCAGGGTCTACCATTAGACAATACATTATGCTTCCGATATCTTCCCAGGCGGCAGTACCTCCCTGTTTGGTAGCTGCCTACGACACTAAAATGGGGCGTGTAGTGAATCTCACAAGGACTCCGCAAAACTACAGGAAGATCTCAACAAATTTTTGCATGGTGTGAAAAATTACAGATGAAATTCAGTGTGGACAAATATAAAGTACTTAGTCTAGGAGATGTAAACAGAGAAACCAGATGAACAACGATGTTATAGAGAAATCCGACTGTGAGAAAGATTTAGGATAAGTAGGAATCTTAAGGCAAGTAAACTGTGTATTTGCTCGAAACAATTAAGGCTAACAAAGGTCGGTTGGCAGCTCCTGTCGAGAGTTACTACCACTCTCTATCATCCATGAATCTATCCAGCCTCCTTTTGAAACTTTCCAGAGTTCCAGCACTTACTACAAAGTTGCTAAGCTTGTTCCACTCGTCCACCACCCTATTTGTGAAACAGTTTCTTCCTATCTCCCTCTTAAATCTAAACTTATCCAACTTGAATCCGTTGCTCCGAGTCCTATCCTGCTCAGATATTATAAGAACTTTATCTATATCACCTTTATTGATTCCTTTCACCCACTTAAATACTTCTATCATATCTCCCCGCACTCTTCGTCTTTCTAGGGAATGCAAGGTTACTTTCTTTAACCTCTCCTCATATGTAAGGTTTCTAAGAGCTCAGTACGCGCTGCAGTTTCCTCCATTCTTATGTTATCTTTATAAATCACACAGACTATTATTGCTAAAAATCGTCCGCACATCACAAAGTCTTTTAAAGTTACTGTTTATTATAGGAACAAAATATAAACTATATTAGGAATAACAAACGAAGATCATTATTTTAATTATTATTACTGTGATTGTTATGCTTTAACTGTTATTAATGTAATAATTAAATGTTATTCATATGCATTCAAATATCATGTTATACCTGTACAGTATTCATAATCATGTAAAATAAAGTATCTAGATCCTGTCAGTAAGTCAGGTTGACAAGCTTAAGATTCAGGTGACCTCAGGTGACCTCATAATAGCGTCAAGACTAAATCAGGTGGGGAGGAAACAGTTAATAATATTTATAATAAAACATTCTTAATTAATATTATATGATGTATTTTGTTATTCCTGGCATACCGGTGTAGTCCATATTATATTCCTATAATTCATTCATCCTAATTATAATTCATCTTACATTCTTATACTAAACACAGGTGATGGGTAGCGCCTCGCCCACGCCACTGTGAGATAATACCACGTACAAGTCAGGTCACATTTGAGGACGTGACGTGACTGTTTACCTTCACCAGTGAATATATAGCGGGTGGTGTGACGGCCACAAACATACACTCACTTGTTGACCTCTGAAGCAGAACATCTTCTCAGCGTTGCTCTGCCCAACACCCGTGATGGATCACCAAGACTTTACCCACGAAGACTTAATCACAGCCCAAGACTTTGGCCAGTCTGCCGACATAGACTTTAGCAGCGTGAAACCCGAGCTGAAGAAACTACTACAGGAGGCCCACCAGGTGCGCCGTCAGGTGAATAAGGAGGTGGAGAAGATGAAGAACCTCTCTCAAGTGTGCCCGAGGCTGACCCCGACTTTACCCAGCAGTGAGGAAGACGGCAGGAGTAAGGTTGACGCTCACTGTGTCTATGTTGGCAACATTGACGGCAACATTACTGAGGAAGACTTAAAGGAACACTTCCTGCTGTGTGGTATAATGAACACTGTCAACATTGTCCGCAAGTCTAAAGGAAAAGGCTTCGCCTACATCTTGTTCAGGGACAAGTTCTCTGTCGACTTGGCTCTGACTCTGAACGATTGTTGTTGTAGAGGTGTTAAGCTGAAGGTGGAGCCCAAGCAAACCGGCGCCAGCACCGGTGATCGTCCGCCCAGGTGCTCCAGCAAGAACAGACGACGCAACCAACCTGCCGGGACCCGCAGACTCTGATTGTGTTTATTATAAGTTGTCATGTAAACTGTTCTTCCTTAACTTTATTAATACAATGTTATAGACGTGAATAAAATATTTTGTGTTCAATGTTTGTTTGCCTCAATGCCCACACATTTACTTCATGTATTTAAGTGTTACGATACATAACACAGACTGGAATAAATGCTGAAATAAGAAAATAAGGAATCTGCAATAGGTCGGTTGGCCTGTGCATGGCAGCTTCTGTCGAGAGTTACTACCACTCTATCTTCCATGAATCTATCTAGCCTTTTGAAACTTTCCAGAGTTCCAGCACTTACTACAAAGTGCTGATAATGATGAATAAGAAGGTGAAGGAAGAGGAGAAATGATAATAATGATGATGGAAGAGCATAAAAATATACATATTTAACAGCAACGAGGGTGTGGTGGTGGGAGGGGTAGTAGTAAGAGTACAGGGGTCGCTTAATTCCCCCTTTAAGTTAGCCGGGTGACAGCCACTTTCCTGCGGTGTTCTCTTAACAGGGTCACACCAGTCTCCACAAGAGCACCTGGATAATGGCTTTTGTGTGGCTCCTCCTGACACACACAGGTTGATTAATGTAGGTCACAGGTAGGTCACATATCGCCTTACATTTATACCCCCTTTACACCGATATTCCATTAAATCGGTATGAGTATCGGTGTTTGGTGGTGGTTCGGTGCGCCGTAAGCGTTCCTCAGTTGTATCGGTAGGAATCATCGGCCATAAACTCACCAGTATCGGGAGGGTGGAAGGGGGGGGGGTCTGTCGCAGGTAGGTTAGGTGTCATCCCATTTGGTGTTGGTGAGTGTAGTTAGTATCATTTTCTCCTTCACCTCACCATCATTCTCTCTCCTCTCCCTCATTCTCCCTCTCTCCCCTGATTTATTTTTGGTTGTATCTGCCGCAATTGTTGTCGTTAATGAGGCGATGTGTTGGCGTGAACGTGTAGTGGTGATAAGCTGCTTCCTGGACGACCCCTCCTACCCTACCCCCTCCCACCCCCCACCGCCCCTCATCAGTGAACGACCCCCCTCACCACCCTTACCATCACCTTTCAAGAGTAAACGACCCTTTCCCCTCTGATGAACGACCACTCTACCTTGGGAACGACTAATTACGTCTTCCCTCTTCTTTTAATTTTTCCCCCTCATTAGTCTCTTCCTCATCTTCCTCCTCCACTTCTTCTCCAACTTTCATTTTCCTCATTTTATTCTTCCTTATTGTCTCCATTCTTTCTTTTTCTCTACCCCTCTTCTCCTTCTCCTCTCCCTCTTCTCCCCTCCTTCCTCCCTCCTCTCCCCTCCTTCCATCCGACCTTATTGGGGGGGAAATTGGAGTCCTTTGCCTTTCAGTTCACTCTGTTGATGAGATGGAATTACAGGAGGCTGGCGTCGACCACAGGAGGAGGAGGAGAAGGAAGAAGAGGTGGAGGAGGAGGAGGAA